CGCCGACCCCGCCTCGCGCGCCGCAACTTCCGGGACAGGCCGCCGGCAACCACCGGAAGCGCGCGGGTAGAGCGGCGCCGACCCGCGTCTCTATGGCCCTGAGGCCGCGCAGCGCGGCCGGGGGCAGGACTCGGGAGGCTGCGGCGCCGCCCCGCGCTGGGACGGGGGAAAGGACCCGGCTGCTTTGCTGCAGGCGAGGCCGCGGCCCCTCCGCGGCCGGATGCCGGCCCGGCCCTGCTTCCGCCTGGCGCGCAGCTCCCTGCCCGGGTCTGTTCGTGGCCAGAGACCTTAACTTCGTTCCCTTGGGCTCCATAAAGGCCCCGCTCCCGCCTTGCCGGGGCAGGGCCGGGTCCTTGCCGGGGTGGTTCTGGGAACCGCCCGGCTCCAGGGGAGCAGCCCCCGCCAGCTGCGGGACACGCTGGTCTGCCTGGGATGTGACTCGTCCCGTAGTTTTGGTGCATCCTGCAATAACCGTGACAACGTAACACCGTCTTTGAGGTATCAGGAAGATGGTGATCAGAGGGGGAACATGCCCAGCTGGGCATGTCTAGGCAAGGCCCCGGCTGTAGCCTCAGAACTGCACCTTTGTACCCTGCCTGGAGTCCTTAATTTGCAATGAAAGAGGGGCTGTGGCTCAAGCAATTTTTTTACATTCATAAATGATGCAGCAAGTCCAGAGCTCCCGGGGCTATGAACTGCCAAGCCTAGAAGTACCAGGGTTCAGCCCTGGGGCAAATTAAGCACTGCCTGTCTGTTACCAACTTGGGATGCCTGGGTCACAGAGATCCCCACTGCCTCAGTCTCTGGAGACAGGTGAGGGAAGGACAAAAGGGAAGATTGAGAGTGATGCTTTTTGGGGTTACCTGGGGTGTGTAGGATGAATCCCTACCACTTGCTTACAGCGTGAGGAAGTCTTGGCTGTGCAAAGGTCACCACTTAGAGCCTGGAGGGCCGTAAGTGGCCTGTAAGCTGCTGGGGCATGGGCTGCCTTCCAGTGAGTGGAGCAAGACTTTGCCTGGTGGTGGTGGCAATTAGGGTAATGACAAACGTAGAGACAGGAATCTGGCACTGGTCCAAGGATGCAGCTAGAGTCAGGGTCAAGGAGCTGAGCTGAAGGTCAGAACCAGAGTCAGAAGCCTGAGCCTAAACCAAAGGGTAAGCTGGAGTCCTAGCCAGAGGTGTAGCCAGGGATCAGAGCCGGGAGTCAGAAGCCTAAGCTGAAGGGCAAACAGGAACCAGACTGGAGCAGGAAGGCTGAGGTAGGAGCAGGGATGGGAACAAGCCAGGAGCAGGGCTTGGTGTGAGGACTGGAAGCAGGCTGGAGCAATAGCTGGAGCAGGATTAAGTGAAAGCAGGGTAAGTGCAGCTATGGCCATGGTACACATTGAGCAGCACTATGCTGCTGCAAGGCTCAAGTCGCAAACTGCTGGCTCCCCTGCCCAATCAGGAAGCACAAGCATTTGGAGGGGGCTCATTGGGTCCAGATGAGCTTGCTGGGTTGCTTCGTGACATAGCCTCTGTGCCACAGGCTGGACATCCCTGCTTTGGAATAACGGAGTGTGCAGCACGCTGCTGGACCTCTGCTAATACACCAGTATGAAACAGTGTGTGTGCCATAACCAACAGGGCTTCCTTCTTGCATAGCATTGCAACACTGAGAGGTTCCCTCTTAAGAGCTGGATGCATTTGTGACATTACCCAGAGTACAATCTGGACAGTTCCCTCCACTTCTCTACATGGGGTGCCTTTTACACTGCTTCTCTGTGAGAGCAACCACGCCTGGCCTGCTCACACACAGCCTCTAGCATGCAAAATCACTCCCAACTGAATTATATGAGTGCTTCTAGCCAGCCATTCCTGAATTATATTGCAGTGACACCAGCAAATTCTCAGTCCCAGATTTGTCCCCAGAAATGTGCATCTTGTACTGCCCAGCACCTTGCTGGACAAAACAAACTCACAATGTCTGTCATTTCATTAATAGGAAATGATATACACTAACCTTGTTATCTCAAGTGGAGGTTCCCAAACACTTCAATCCAAACACACTGGTTTAGATAAAACAATAAAGCAAGTTTATTAACTACAGAAAGATAGATTTTAAGTGATTACAAGTAATGAGGCATGAAAGTTAAAAGTGGTTATAAAGAAATAAAAGGTAAAACACAAACTAATACCTAACTTAACAAGCGAAGAGAATTTAAAACAATACAGGCTTTTTTCTTACCACTTGCTTGCAGCAGTCTGGCTGGATTACTTCAGTCACGACCCCTCCCCCAGTTCAGTGATGCTTCCTTTGTCTTTCAAATACTGTTGATGCCATAAGGAGAGATGAGGGGAGTGAGGTGATTTGGGGCTTTGTTCCTCATTTTTATATCTTTTCTTCCTCTTTCAGAATCATCTCCAGCTGGGGTACGGGCAACAGCCAGTCTGTTCACATGGGAACCCCCAGTTGTTATATTGCCAAGATGTAAATTTTTAGCTCACACCCTTCTTCCTGCCAAAGAATGGCCATTTCACCAGATGATAGTCCATTTGATTTTGTTGACACCTGGCCAAGGTATCAGTTTGCCTTTTGTCTCTGAGGAACTGGTCTGTGCCTGCTTTTCTAAATTTGGAGCATGTCTCAGCAATGTCATACAGTAGCATCTTATAACTTTACATACAATGTTGGTACAGACATTTTACCAGGGTAATAATGATCAGCAGATTATGAGTTTTCAAATGATACCTCAACAAGACTTACTTTGTACAAAATGTATCATAGTTTTATAAAAAGGGTTAACATAACAGTACAGACTGTCACACATGTAAAAGCAGGAAGCAAGCTAGCAGAACAGAGACAACCTGTCTGCTCTGGTATTCTATTCTCTATAGGTTTTTATGCCATTCTTATCTCTGTAGTATCTCCGCACCTTCCAGTTGTATCATTGCAGGGCCCTCGAGTACTGGTGCACCTTGGTCCCTCCTATCCTCTGCCTTTGGCACATAGTCTAGTTTTCTGTGCTTCTAATTTTCTTTGGTCTCATTTTGGTTGTTAGGTTTAGTGTGCAGGTACTGGATGGCGATGGAGGCCTGTGGTATAGGAAGTCAGGTGGTCCCTTCTGGCCTTAAATTCTATGACTCTAGGACAGTGGTTTTCAAACTTTTTTTTTGGTGACCCCGTTGAAGAAAATTGTTGATGCCCACGATCCAACGGAGCTGGGGATGAGGGTTTGGGGTGTGGGAGGGGCTCAGGGCTGGGGCAGAGGGTTGGGGTGCAGGAGGGTCAGGGCTTTGGGCTGGGGCCAGGGATGAGGGGTTTGGGGTGCAGGAGGGGGCTCTGGAATTGGGGGGGGCTCAGGGCTGGGGAAGGGGGTTGGGGTATGGGAGGGGGTCGGAGCTCTGGGCTGGGGGTGCAGGCTCTGTGGCGGGGCCGGGGATGAGGGGTTTGGAGTGCAGGAAGGGGCTCTGGGTTTGGGGGGGCTCAGGGCTGGGGCAGGGGATTGGGGTGCAGGCTTATCTTGGGCAGTGCAGCAGGGGTGCTAAGCCAGGCACTGCGCCCAGGAAGCGGCCAACAGCAGGTCTGGCTTCTAGGCGGAGGCACACAAGCAGCTCTGCGTGACTCTTGCCTGCAGGCATCACCCGCCCCCAGCTCCCATTGGCCAGTTCCTGGCCAATAGGAGTGTGGAGCCAGTGCTCAGGGCAGGGGCAGCGCGTGGAGCCCTGTGGGCCCCCTGTCTAGGAGCCGAACCTGCTGCTGGCCACTTCCGGGGCGCAGCGTGGTGTCAGAACAGGTAGGAACTAGCCTGCCTTAGCCGGGCAGCACTACCAACAGGACTTTTAACTGCCCACTTGGCGGTACTGACCAGAACCGCCGTGACCCAGTGCCTTCCATTCCACGACCCAGTACTAGGTCGTGACCCGCAGTTTGAAAACCACTGATCTAGGACATCTGTCATGTCTTGTTTGTTCTCTCATCCTCTCCTCAGAGGGAGAAGCAGGTGCAGTGGAGACTTGTTTTGGTGGGGGGAGGGGTTATTTTCTTATAGTATTTTTATATATATGTGTGTGTGTGTTTATAGTAGAGAAGCAAAGTCAAAGAAATGCACTTTGCATATGGGGTGAAAGGTGGTGAGGTTTGTGATGGTCCTTAGTTCCTGCAGGAGCTCATTCCATAGTCTTGGACCACCCCCAAAGAAAGTTCTGGCTCTCTCACAGACCAGCTTTATGCTTATTGTTGAGAGTTCCAATGTGCCAGGGGACATAGTTGTCGACTACAGTCTTTGCCCGGGAATGGCAATGCCTTGCTCAGCAACATGCATGCTCTCACATTTATTCTTCTACAGCCTCACCCCAAACACATACATGCATGCACAATCACATGACTGGACATTTTCAGTGGTAAGTTTTCTTTACTTTTTTAATGTAGTTTGTACCATCTCTCTCAACATTGTTGTCAGCAAGTTGTAGCCTGAACAGTTATCACACTTACAAGATTATGTATTGGAGTGTAACAACATGCACTTCTCTCAGATAACAGGTTCTTTTCCTAGGCGGCTACTTAAAGTTAATTGAAAAGATGGAATTTGGTGAAACACAAACTTTATTTGGTACAGACAACTATCATTGAAATTATGGGAAAGGATCAATATACACTAAGATTAGAATAAGGTAAGTACAGTAAAGTGGTTTCCTGCATTGCTCCTACTTACAGGCTTGCATTGGGCATATTTACAACGTATGGAGACCATTGGAAACAAAGATGGAAGGGAACATAAGTGGAGCCCATCAGAAAGGAGATCCTGATTCAGTTTACACAGTCTTGGGGACCTGATGCACCCCAAGAAATGGGAACTGAGGGTGGCATTTTATACCCTTCCTTATGGTGATAGTACAGATATATACGATTTCATGCTTTATCCTGATTATAATAAGGTCAATAGCTGTCCCTAACCATACATGGCCTTTGGGGTGTCCTTAATTATGCCTCAAGCATTGATATTCCTGTCTTACATCACTTATTTATTAATAATGCCTATATGTAGAAGCAGTCTAACTGCTTAGATACTGCTTAGCAACCTAATTGCTAAAGCCCCCCAAACTCCCTTCCTGTGGAGTTCTGTGGAGTACTGGACCTGTTTGGGGTTACTTGATTGTGTTTCAGAATGAAAGTAAAAAATATTTGACCTGGGATTATCTTCTTAGATTTCTCTCATTTCAGCTACACTTCAGCCTTTAATATAATTACTTCCACAAAGCCTTAACCTAATATGATAGGCCCCTAAATTTTAGCAAGCTTAATAACCCATATACTTATGTTCACCTATTTGTCCCCATGCATGTTCCAGGCTAACAAGCCATACACCCACATACATACAATCTTATGCTCCTATTATGTCATTTTACCTCTAGCAAGCATAAAATCACCCAAGAGACATGAGATAGGCTCATAGGTCATAAATATGGCTAAGATTTTGTCACAGGTATTTTTAGAAAAAAGGCACGGACAGGTCATGGGCAATAAAGAAAAATTCACGGAAGCAGTGACCTGTCCATGACTTTTACTAAATATATCCGTGACAAAATGGGGAGCTCAGCTGCGGGGGGTCCGCGTACCGCTTGCAGGGCTGAAGTCACAGAGGTCTCTGGAAGCCGTGGATTCCGAGAGTTCCGTGATAAAATCGTAGCCTTAGTCATAACATCAGGTCAGCGGTCAACAAAATTGATATAGGAAAAGAAAATCTTTAAACACTCCTCTTAATTTAAACAGAACCTTTGTTAAATCACCAAGAACCAGTCAAAAAACTATATATGATGACATCAAATGATGATTTTTAAAATAAAGCTTGTAGTAAAATGGGCTAAAGGAATGGAGAAGCCTGGACTATTTCATCATGTTACTCTGTGTTTTGTATTTGTTTTCAAACTGACACAAGATAAAACTATCAGAAAAAAATTATGGTAACTCTGGGAATGAGATTGGAGAACTAGGCCCTGGTCTACACTACAAACGTACGTCAGTGTAACTAAGTCGCTGAGCGATGTCGTTACACCGACCCAACCCCCAGTGTAGGCAGCGCTATGTCAGTGGGGGGCTTCTCCTGTCGACACAAGTGCCGCCTCTCGCAGAGGTGTACCTGTGCCGCCAGAGACGTTCTCCCGTCCGAGTAGGGAGCGTCTTCACCAAGTGCTACCGCGGCGCAGCTGGGCCAGTGCAAGTGCGCTGCTGCAGCGCTGTAAGTGTAGACGCACCCTAGGACAAGAGAGAACAGGTCAGGGCTCAAATCGACTCGATATTTGCTTAGATTTGGATTTGTTATAGCTTGTGATCAGATCCAGTTTGCTGTGTCCAAGAGTGAGTGTTTTCTCATCCCTGTGTTTAGTGCAGCTATTTTCCTTTGGCACTTCATCGCCGAGTCTAGCAGAGCTTGGGACTGCAGCTGTCCGCTCCCTTTTTAACTGGTTGTATTGGATAATCAGGTCCAGTTTACTATGTCCAAGAGTCAGCGTTCTCTCATTCCTGCATATTTTGCTGCTGCTTTCTATTGCTTTTCCACTTGAAACATCACTGGGCGCTTTCTGCTTGGTATTTGCCCCATTTGTACCAGTGTTCTCAGAGGGGGATTGTAAGTTTGGTCCCTGTCTGATGGCAGAGTGATGGAGCAATTGGTCATTTTTAGTTTTAGCCAATGCCTTATTTTCTAGATGACTAGGTTCACTGCAGCTTAATATGGGGAAAGACACTGGCTGCAAGGATGCCTGCTGTGACTTAGGATTAGGCTTGTCATATAAGGCAGACTTGAATTTAGCTGAAGTGCTGTGGCTAGAGTTTGACATTTCCGAGTGCTGCTTGGAGTCGCTTGGCTTTATGGAGCTGATGGCTTCCTTTCTCTTTTCACTGGTGAAACCAGGACCCACGTCTTGCTTTTCAAGGAGTACATTGTAGGTGGAGTTCTTCAGAAAAGGAGACATCTTTATGCTCTCAATGCTTGAATTTGAGAGACTGCTTGCATGGCTTGCGGTTTCAGCTTCATTCGTTTGGGCGGGTTTTAAGAGAGACTGGAAGTTCCCTGCTGAGCTGTGAGGTGAAGTGGAGCTTGTTCCAGCCTCAGGGATACAGAAACCAGGCACAGGTTTGGATTCTACGTACAAGCTTCGGAATTCTCTGTCAAAGTCCTCAACGATTTTGCCTCGGAAGTGTGTCACCAAGCAGGTGTGAACTTGACTGCAAAGCCAAGTAAAACTGGAAAAGAAATTGAAAGGTGACATGAATCAATAGAGATGATTAGCAGGTATTTCTAACCTTTGAATGATTTACCATAGATATTACATCATTTCTATCCTCACACTAACGGGTGCATTGTAATATATTGGAACTTCACCCCCATGGTCTCAGGGGAAGGTGTCTGTTTCACCAGAGGGTGGAGGGAGAAGGATGTCGCGCCCTGGGCTCTGGATGTACATGGAGAGGGGAAGGTGCAGACATACTTGGCTTCTTGCAGGCAGTTAAAACCGTAATAGGGAGATGTCCTGGGAAGGGAGGAGGGCCAGGCGAGTGGGGGGGCTCTGGGTGTGTCCCCAAGGGGCGGGGGGGGGGAATCCTGGATGGGGACTGGATGTGTCCAGGGGATCCCGGTCTGTAGAGGATGTATTCTCCTGGGCAGTGGGATCCCAGGCTGTACAGAGGGTATCCCCCCTGGGGTGGAGGGATCCCAGGCTCTGGGGGGCGGGTGTTCTAGGGGATACCGGGCACAGGGGGAGGCAAGGGAGAGGCTACCAGAGCCTCCGGGATTGTCTCGCTGTATTTTCTGTATCATTAATACAAGATAAAAGGGATTTTTAATGATGTGTTTGCCAGGTACTGAGCTCGCTGAAGTCTCAGGATACCAATCCCCAAACCTGGGTTAAACTATTTAATTTTGGACAGTGACCAGGTCACGTTAACACGTGACTCTTTGGGTCCACACATTTCATCTACATTATACAAGAGGTAACATTAATTGCATGAAGATGCGGGGATTAGCTGTGGGGGCGGGGAGATGGCATTACAGTGCCAGTGGTGGGACAGCATTAGCAGGTGGCACGGTACATGGTGCTGGGAGGAGGGTGCTGTGCGGGGCAGAATACGCAGCACCGAGCAGGAGGCTGCACAAACACCCCATTCCTCCAGCCACCAGCACCGACCCTCCATTGCTCTTTGCCAGCAGCTCCCTGCTCAGCGCTTCAGCAATGCAGGAGGCCGGGGGGGAATGGGGTGGCCACAGGTGGGAAGGGCAGGGGGAGCATGGGCAGCAGAGGGTTGGGGCTGTGGGGGTGTATGGCTCCCGAATCGCCAGCCCACGGGCGCGGCAAACTGCTCCCATGGCAACGAGGCAGGAGCGACCTTCACCCCCGCGTCTGTGTTTGGGAAAACCTTTTGGCTGATTTGATTGTACCCTCGCAGCTGGTGTTCACGCGCACAAGAAATGGGTTTGCTATCTTGTGTAATTGTACACTGCATGTTTTCTTCATGCACAAGAATGTAACCACTAGGAAGAGTTGTAAACAAAGTAAGGAGAGAAATAAAAACCCCAGGAAAAGTTTTCCTGGAGGCTCTTTGGCTTGAAGCTTGTGAAGCTCTCTAGCTACCACAAACCTGGTGCTCTATTTCCTTTCCTGTGTCGTCACCACAGCTGGTGACCCCGACGTGATACCCCTCTACTCACCGGCTGGATACACCGAGTGCACCCCCGCGGCCGTTTGCCGCCCCGATTCGTGAGTATGGGGGGGGGGACTTTCCAGTGCCCAGAAGGAGCACGCAAGAGAGTTACAAAAGATTATACGGCAACGATCATGTGTCGTTGTCTCGGTCGCTCATATTGAGGACCTTCTAAGGGAAATAGATCGCCAGTGCCCCTGGTATCCTGACTGCGGGTCTTTACAGCTTTTTGATTGGATACGGATTGGGATCACCTTGTATAGTGAACCCCGTGCCCCAGTTCAGCACCTGCTGCTCTGGCAGCGTTGGAAGGAGGCGCTGGAGGGGTTCGGCCCCGACGGCCTCAAGCCGGTTTCCCCTTTGCCCCCAGGTGATGGGCCGCCCCCCTCCTGCCCGCAGCTGACCCTCCCTGCGCCGCCGCCCACGGCGGCTCCCCCCTGCCCACCGGTTGGGCGGGGGGGGCGCTGTCGCCGCGGCGGTGCAGCCAGCGCGCGAGGCCGGTCTCTTGACCAGCGAGGAATCCAGCTGTGGGTTCGAGGCGTTTCCCATCTCTTGGCGGGATAATGGAAATGGGGGGCAGATAGTGGACTGGGAGGCTCTCCCCTACTCGGTTCTGCGCGAGCTCCGGGGGATCTTGGAAGGTGTGTCAAACGGTTATCACTTGCTCCCCCAAGATTGGAAAGACATGTGTCGCATGGTGCTGTCTCCCGCGCAATACGTTGTGTGGGATAGCGAGTACCAGCAAGAGGCGCTTGCGGCAGCAGCACAAGGTGGGGGGGGGGCCTATCTCGCTGAGCAGTTATATGGCACAGGGCAGTTTTCGAGCATCCCCGAGCAGGCGGTGGGCACGCCCCGGGCAGCTTATCCCATCATTGGCCAGCGTGCCCGTCGCGCGTTTCGCAGGGTCCCCGCTGCGGGCGAGTCCTTCGACCCTGGCGGAGTTGCTACAGGCGTGTGCGGACGTAAGCACCCCAACCCAAACGCATTCCTTGCCTCAACGATCAGCCGTTCGAGGGTGTTATCGACTTTGGGGCAGACGTCACCGTCATCGCCACCGCGCAGTGGCCCGCCCATTGGCCCACAGAGCAGGCTCCGGCGGTTTGGGGTGTGGGCAGGGCGCAGGACTCACAACGAAGAGCCCGATGGTTGGAGGTTAGGGCGCCCCAAGGCATCCGCCGCGCCCGTATCCGGCCTATCATTCTCCCCGTCCACCTCAACCTGTGGGGCCGTGATTTATTAACACAGTTCACTGCCACCATCCATATTGATGATTAGGCGTACGGCCCTCCCCCTTTGTTGGCTCACTGAAGAGCCCGTCTGGGTTGCACAGTGGCCGCTTCCTCTGGAAAAGCTGGAGGCCCTCCAGCACTTGGTCAGTGACCAGCTGCAGGCAGGGCATTTGGAGGAGTCCACTAGCCCCTTTAAAACCCCCGTGTCTGTAAGCACAAAAGAAATAGTTACACCTTGTATAGAAATTGATGTGGCTAGTGTTGTGGAAATTGAATTGTGGATAGGGTGTGCATTTTCCCCAGAATATGTGCAGTGTATATTGTAGCAGAGGTAAAGGAAATGCAAACCTACCAATATAGGTTGTGTTGTCTTTTTCAGATCACTGTGTGTTTAAAAGCAATGACTGACTACCCAGAAGGGGTAGACCTCTGTTCTTTTGTTTTTCAGATCATCAGAGAAAATGGATGCCAGCTGAACAGCATTCAATGTACCATGCATTTACTGGCACCATAGGAATTATTTTTGTGTTCTATGGCCAAAATTGTTGTTAAAATTTGCATACCAACAGTCTTTGGAAGCAAGGATATGGAAGGTTAACCCACTCCCCATATTACCCATGGGATCCTTCTGGCTACCTCAGATTTCTAGCCAGAGGGCTGGGGAGGGAGGAAAGCTATTAGACACCTGAGGTTGTACCGAGTGAACTCCTCAAAAGTGGGTGTGCTTGTCCTGGTTTGTTGCTCCAAAGCTCTGTAATAAAGTTATTTTACTGGAAGAGTGTACATGGCATATATTGAATAATAAGACTAATGTACTGTATAATGGCAATGTGTATGTGTTCATTGTTAGGAAAAGGTGTATGAGTAAAGAGTGGAAGTTTCCTTTGTAGGTTAAAAGAAGCCAAGAAGGGGAGAAGGAAAAAGAACAGAATGAGTTAACTGAAGAAAAATAGCTAGCAAGCTCAGTCCAAAGATAAGACTTGGCTAACAGCCAAGAAAAGGGGGGGGCCTGAATGTGCCCGAGCAACAATGAGATCTGAAAAACACTGCCAGGCATTAATGAAATGTGTTAGGTTTCTTTTCTCACAGGTAGAGAAGTGCTACCCAAAGACCCTAGCACCCCTGCCATTCATTGAAACCAGGAGACTGAGTCTATGTAAAGTCCATCAACGAAAGACTGCTTTGGCTCCATGCTGGAAAGGCCCTTTCCAAGTCCTGTTAACCACCAACACTGCTGTGAAGTGCCAAGGACTGCCCACCTGGACCCATGCTTCTCACTGCAAAAAGACCCCTCCACCTGGAGAGGATTCTCCAGCTGCTAATCAGCCTATTTCTCCTGCTAGCTCTGCTGTGCCTCCTGGACAGCAGGGAAGGAGGACAAGGTAAAGTGCTAGTAACCTCTCCCTTGTCCACTGACAGACCTACTGTGCCTTTGGATTTTCCTAAAAGAAGCAAAACCATTACAGGGTGATGTGCTAGTAACCTCTCCCCTGTATGATGCTAAACCACACTGTTTCAGGAAAAGAGAAGAAGGAACACTTGCTTCATTGAAACCACAAAGTCCAGGGATTCCTGACTACAAGAGACATTAAGAACTGACCCTGGTGAAGAAACAAAGAATTATACACTGGCAGGAAGAAACTTGTGGGACCCATTCTTGGGAACGTGGTATTGATTGGATTTTGGGGTTTATTCTACAGGCTGCGCCCTGTGTTTTGGATAAGTCCTTCAGCATGTATTGCCCTCCCTAATTGGATTTCAAATGATAAGTACCAAAGGCACCTTGTTGCCATTGCCCCTGCCATCTCCTCTATTACACTATTACCCCTGTAACACATCCAAATACAGACAATGACCCAGAAGTTGCTGACAGAGATGGTATTGAATATCACTGAGGCTGGGAAGGCATTGCAGTGGGATCTAGAGCATCAGGCTTGGCCCACTGCCCTTACAGACACATCAGGAGTACCATCTGATCTGTGGCCATGGAGACATACTTGGAGACTTTCTGGGTGGAAGTGCAGACGTTCTCAGTGCTCCTTCCAAGCATATGGACCGGTTGAGGGGGTGTGGGCTCCCACATACCGAATCCTGCCGGGTCCATGGGGAGGATGCATGTGGGATTGGGTAATTCACCAAGACATCTGGGAAATTAGACTACCTGGTATGCCCAATTGATTTTAGTAAGTGCTCCTGAGATTACATCTGATATTTGGATGGGGTTAGGGAGTCAATGGACATTTTGGCCATTAGAACCCCCACAGCTTCAGTGTATATGTAAACTGAAGCCAGGAGAAATTGTCACTGTTTATGACTACGTTTGCTGGGAGGGTAGGGGACAAGGAACTACCCTGACAGGACACTTACTTTTTCAAGCTAATGATAGCTGTGTGTATGTTAATGACACCACATTACAAGATATGCATTTTAATCTCACTATCACTGCAGGCAATTACTGGCCTGCAGATAGAGTTAAGTATAATGTATTGTACTTTGTGACATTGTTAGCTTGCCTTAATGCTAACTCACTTCTTATTTTGTGTGTATTGGGAAGTTTTTTGTTGGCCCCTGGCTGCCAAGGCGAACCCCAGATGGAGCAGCGGCTGCAGTTTAACATCTGGGTCCACCTGGCAGAAGTATTAAATCAATCTGATTTCTGCCTGGCCGTTGCCCCGGAAATGCAAGGTCTGTTAAGTACTTGCCTTGTTTCTGTCTGCAAACCACCCAGCAACATCTGGGGTGTGAGACAGTGAAAGAAATGTGTTGTTTTAAGCTTACTGATAATAGTAATCGCATGCAATAGCAAATTGATATGCTGAAATGTTATGCTTAAGCTATCCGCCAGGACGTTTTTCCTCCTTGGTGGGATTATATCTAGTTATAGCCACCCTTAGAGTGGATAAAAACCCTTTTATAGTATGGGGTCTTAGTTTTGATTTTTGATGTTTTACTTTGCTGCTTCGTTTAGTGTATACCCAATCTAGTGGCATTGTGTATGCTACCCTGCGAGAGTGCTTTGTTTTAATACCGCATCTATAAAATAAAATAGGGGGGGATGTGGGGGTGTATGGCTCCCGAATCGCCAGCCCACGGGCGCGGCAAACTGCTCCCATGGCAACGAGGCAGGAGCGACCTTCACCCCCGCGTCTGTGTTTGGGAAAACCTTTTGGCTGATTTGATTGTACCCTCGCAGCTGGTGTTCACGCGCACAAGAAATGGGTTTGCTATCTTGTGTAATTGTACACTGCATGTTTTCTTCATGCACAAGAATGTAACCACTAAGAAGAGTTGTAAACAAAGTAAGGAGAGAAATAAAAACCCCAGGAAAAGTTTTCCTGGAGGCTCTTTGGCTTGAAGCTTGTGAAGCTCTCTAGCTACCACAAACCTGGTGCTCTATTGCCTTTCCTGTGTCGTCACCACATGGGGCACAGGTGGGAAGGGCAGGGGAGGGTTTGGGGGTGCAGGGGGAGCATGGGCAGCAGAGGGTTGGGGGCACAGGTGGGAAGGGCAGGGGGAGTATGGGCAAGGAAAGGTTGGGGGGCACGGGGAGCATGGGCAGCAGAGGGTTGGGGGGCACGGGGAGCATGGGCAGGGGGGGCTCAGGTGGGTGCATGGGGCAGTCGGGCAGGAAGCATGGTGGGGAGCACTGGTGAACAGAGACAGGGAGCTGGGGTTGGGGGGGGAAGGAGGAGTCTCTTGGCCGTTGCTCTGAGAAGCAGGGGAGACACCCCGAGCTCTGCGGGGATCCTGTTGAGGAGGAGGTGCCCATGAGCTGGACAGGACTTTCCCTGCAGGACAGTGCTGGCAATGCAGAGGGAGGGAGGGGAAAGGACTGAGCCTAGCTGTCCCTGGCACCTGCCAATGCTGCAGTGCACTGGCTGGTTTGTCCATGTTGCCTCTTAGTGGCACCATCTGGCTAGAAGCCGCTGCCGTTTCCCAGGTGTTCTTTGCCCTGTGGTTATTGTCACTGAATCTCTCTGATTGGTCCAGCTTTTCGCCCTCACTGCCCATAGTGCAGATGCTTGTCATCTCAGCCTCTGTAATGTGCAGCCTCCCAGCCCACAGCCGCACACTCTGTGCCCCTTCCACTGGATATGCCTGTAAAAGCACTTGTTAATCCTCACAACCTTCTGGGCAAGATTAACGCATTGTGCTCTAATGTGGCCCCCTGATGCAATGCTGGGCTCACACCAGTTTTATTCTGGTGCAACCCCAGTGACTGGTCGAGTTGCTCCTGGTTTGCATTGCTGTGGCAAGATGAGATTTAGGCTTCCTGCCTTTGTCTTTCAAGCCTAACTGACTGGATATTCGGCTTCGGTTGTATTCCCCTCTTTACCCTTACAGGGTTCATTCTAAACTATGGACAGAGAACACAGGACCTGCCGGAAATCCAGAGGAAAGGATAATTCAAAACAATAAGCAGTTTGATTACGTCCATCGTGTCATTATGGGCGCTAGGGAAATGGCCTGCCTTCTAGGAGAGCTCCCATTCTGACCATGGGAGGAGGATGTGGCTGGGTTTGTTGGCAGAGGGGGAGCATGGCAAGAGGGGAGATCTAAGATGTAGGCCAGGGCAGGGCCTTGGAGGAGGGAACTAGAAGTGTAAACTTGTTGCCAGTAGACAGCTTGAGGTGACATGGTGAGACTGGCAGGGGAGTGAGGAGGGTGCACAGATCCAGGTGGGACGTGTCCAGGGTGGGGACAAGCAGTTAGCCATTGGCACAAAAAAAAAGGGTCTCATATTTTGGTATGTTGTAAAGAAACTTGAAGATTTGGGAATGGCTTAGATGTGAGGGGGAGGAGTAAGACATGAACTCTGGACTGGGATGTCGGCAATAACACCAGTCTGGAAGGAGAGGCGTTAGGAGAGGAAGAGTTGGCTTTAAGCCATATTAAGCTGGAGCTGTTGGTAACCATTCAGGAGAGAACCTGGGATGCAGGGCTGCACACAGGGAAGCAGGTCTGTGACCTGTCAGCTTGGAGAAGACAGTTAAGTTAACGTGAGCGAGTGAGGCCACATAGGCTAAAGTGCAGAAAGGCCCAAGGACAGAGTCTGAAGGATCCTGACAGAGCAGGGAAAGGGACAGCAGCAGGAGACACTTGGACAGCATTCCAAGGAGGAGGGAGCGATAGCCTCCGAAGCAGCAGAAAGTCTGAGCAGGATGGAATGCAGACTGAAATTCAGCCCGTATGCAGCCAAGTCAGCAAGATCCTGGGCAGAAGGACGGGGTGCAGGAAGTGGAGAGGGCTTCAGGAGGGAGTTGATAGTGGTTATGAGGCAATGGGGGTATAGGCCTGGGACTCAATAAGGCGGAAGTAGGGCTGCTTTGTGAAGAAGTCATCAGAACTTAAGGAGGAGAAGAGTTTGTAGTGAAGGAAGCCCCGGTGACCCGTGGAGACTCTTCGGGGCTGCCCAGCAGCTCAGGAGCAAGTGTGGGGGAAGCAAATGCTGGATGTAAACCAGGGGAGAGGAGAGGAAGAGCAAAAGAGTGGTGTGGAGGAGAGTGTGGAACAGAGGGTGTCAACTCCAGTCAGAGGTGAGGAAGCAGGGAGCCATGGGCAAGGGTGCAGTTATGAGCAGCAACACAACCAGATGTTGCTCGATTGAAGGTCATGGAAGGGCCAGCTGGGAGGTAGAGAGCAGCGTGGGCGTGGACAGTATTCAAGGAAAGAAAGTGGTGATCAGAAGTGGAAAAGATCACTGCTGTGTGAAGACAACAAAGTCCAGGGGGTGGCATTGGTGGAGTGTGTGTGCAGTGGGAGAGTTAATGCAGTCTGAAGGTCAAACAGCAAGGTAAGGGCAGGAGGCTAGAGGATGGGTGAGCGATCAGCATGAAAGTTGAAGTAATTGACAGTGATGAAGAGGGAGAGCCATGTGTTGAAATCAGGCAGGAAGAGGGTGTGAGGGATGTGGGTGAGATTATGAAGTTGGTTTCTCTGTGACAATGAATGTTTGGCCCAATGTCTCTGAGTTTTAGAGGTGCAAACTGTGATGTCTCACCTGTATGTACCAGCAAGAACGTGGTCACAATCTATCAGTACAAACTTCTCCAGGACTTGACCTTCAAATTTCTTGCCTGCTTTACTGTAATATGTGTCTCCACTCACACACCGCACTTGCATGTTCTGAAATCAGAGGACGAAATATGGATTGAACCAGATTGAATAGAGCAAGCTAAATCTTTTCTTTCTTAACAGATTGCTATATGAATGATAACCTGAGCGATGGGCTGGCTGTCCGACAGTGTCCCCCGGTCCGGAAAGGAGGGAAGCAGCAAGGCATAAAGTATTTTCTGGCTACTACGTTCCCTACAGTAACAGAGAGTTCTATCAAACTGCCTGCTGCTTGGGGATCATGTAATGAAATAAAAATACCAAAAATTAACGTGTTGTTAGGTAGCAACTTACACCACAGGTTATACAAGATCTTGGCATAAAGAACTTGTCCTTCTAGATCATTTATAGAATTTATAAATCGATACAATTTCTACCACATCATTTATACAATTATCGAATAGCGCTGGCCTAAGAACCAACCCCTGCAGGACCCACCAGAAAGACACCATTAGTTGATGATTCCTCATTCACAGCTACATTTTGAGATCTCTCAGTTAGTCAGCTTTTTAATCCATTTAATATATAGAATACAGATTCTGGATAGTGTTAGGGTTTTGTTAGTCATGCAGTAAAAATGCCTTACATAATTCTAACTATATTATTTCCCAGTTACCTTTATCAGCCTGACTTGTAATCTTGTCAGACAACATCATTAGGGTTATTAGTTGCCTCACCAGAGTAAAACTGACCTGAGCCTAGCCACATTTATACCTTGCACAGGGTACTTTGGTGATCCTTCATAAAATCATAGAAGTGTAGGACTGGAAAGGACCTTGAGAGGTCAATAGTCCAGTCTCCTGCATTCAAGGCAGGACTAAGTAATAACTGGACCATCCCTGACAGGTGTTTGTCTAACCTGCTCTTAAAAACCTTCAATGACAGAGATTCCACAACCTCCCTAGGCAATTTATTCCACTGCTTAACCACCCTGACAGGAAGTTTTTCCAAATGTCCAACCTAAACCGCCCTTACTGCAATTTAAGCCCATTGCTTCTTGTTCTGTCCTCAGTGGCTAAGAACAACAATTTTTCACCCTTCTCCTTGTAAACAAACTTTTATGTACTTGAAACCTGTTATCATGTCCCCTCTCAGTCTTCTCTTCTCCAGACTAAACAAACCCAATTTTTTCAATCTTCCCTCATAAGTCATGTTTTCTAGAACTTTAATAATTTTTGTTGCTCTCCTCTGGACTTTCTCCAATTTGTCCACATCTTTCCTGAAATGTGGCACCCAGAACTGGACACAATACTCCAGTTGAGGCCTTATCAGTGCGGAGTAGAGAGGAAGAATTACTTGTCATGTCTTGCTTATAACACTCCTGCTAATATATCCCAAATGATGTTCTCTTGTTTTGCTAAAGTGTTACACTGTTGACTCATATTTAGCTTGTGATCTACTATGACCCCCAGATCCCTTTCTGCAGTACTCCTTCCTAGGCAGTCATTTCCCATTTTGCATGTGTGCAATTGATTGTTCCTTCCCGTGTGGAATACTTTGCATTTGTCCTTATTGAATTTCATCCTATTTACTTCAGACCATTTCTCCAATTTGTCCAGATCATTTTGAATTTTAATCCTATTCTCCAAAGCACTTGCAACCCCTCCCAACTTGGTATCATCTGCAAACTTTATAAGTGTACTCTCTATGCCATTATCTAAGACACTGATGAAGATATTGAACAGAACCGGACCCAGAACTGATCCTTGCAAGAACCCACTTTTTATGCCCTTCCAGCATGACTGTGAACCACTGATAACTACTCTCTGGGAATGGTTTTCCAACCAGTTATGCACCCACCTTATAGTAGCTTCATCTAGGTTGCATTTCCCTAGTTCGTTTATGAGATGGTCATGCGAGACAGTATCAGAAGCCTTACTAAAGTCAAGATATACCACATCTACCACTTCCCCCCATCCACAAGGCTTGTTACCCTCTTACCAGCCTTGGTTATGGTGTAGAGTGACCCCAGCACACACCCAGATCTTCCCCCAGAAATGTATGTCCTGTACGACCCAGCCCTCTCCTGGGCGGTACAAATATATTATGAGCTAGTATTAATGGAGGATTTTAACTTCCCTAATATCTGTTGGAAGATTATTACAGCAAAACATAATATATCCTGCACATTCTTAGCATATGTAAGAGGACAACTTTCTGAATCAGAAAGTTGGGGAAACAACTAGGGGGTCATTCATTTTGGATCTGGTTTTGATCAACAGGATGAATTAGTTGTGAACATGAAGGTGGTCGGGAACTTGGGAGGAACTGATCATGATCTGATAGAATTCAAGATCCTGTGGAAAGGAGAGCATGAGAACAGCAAAACAAGGACACTGGACTTCAGAAAGGCAGATTTCAACTAACTCAGAAATAGTAGGCAAGACCCCACGGAAAGACCAATTAGGAAGAAAAGGAGTCAAAGGGGGCTGGCAGTTCTTAAAAGATGTAATACTGGTGGCTGAACATCATGCTGTTCCAACGCAGAGGAAAGATAAGAACATCTGCAGGAGGCCAATGTGACTGCACAAGGAGTTTTTCAGCTATCTAAAATCTCAAAGCCAATTTTACTAAGAACAAACCCATGCCAGACCAGCTTGATTTACTTCTTTGACAGGGTAACTAGTTTGGTGGACAGGGGGAATGTGGTGGTCATAATATAAATGGACTTCAGCAAGGCTTTTGACACAGTCCCACATGACAGTCTCATAAGTAAGCTGGAGAAATGCAGGCTCAGCGGAACTGCATACATAATGCATGAATACATACATGATCTATACATAATTGGTTTAAAAAGGCACAAACAAAGAGTAACTATTAATGGAATGATGTCAGATTGGAGAAAGGCCTCAAGTGGGGTACCAGAGGGATCTGTTCTGGGTCCGGTGTTATTTAACATCTAAAATTCAGAGGGTTCTTGATAAATTGGAGAACTGGACTATAGAGAACAAAGTGAAATTCAACAAAGACAAAGGGAAGAAAAACCAAATGCACAAATACAGAATGGGGAAAACTGGCTTGGCAGCAGCACTGCTGAGAAGGATCTGGGAGTTGTGGCTCACAACCTCAACGTGAATCAGCAAATGCAATTTTGGGTTCCATTAACAGAGGCATAGCATGCAAGTCACAGGAGGTGATAGTACCACTCTACTCAGCACTGATTAGGCATCAGCTGGAGCATTGTGTCCATTTTTGGTATAAAAAGGATGAAGAGAAACTGGAAAGAATCCAGAGGCGAGCGACAAAGATGATCAAGGGGATGGAATGCAGCCACATGAGCAAAGGCTGAAGGAACTGGATATGTTTAGTTTGGAAAAGAGGAGATTAAGGAGGATATGATAGTGGTCTTCAAATACTTGAACAGCTGCCAAAAAAAGATGGAGAAAAGTTGTTCGCTCTTGCCACGGAGGGCAGGACAAGAGGCAATGGGTTCAAACTACAGGATAGCAGATTTAGATTAAATCTCAGGGAAAACCTCCTAACTGTAAGAAAAGCAGGACAATGGAAGAGATGGCCTTGGGAGGTCCTGGAATCTCCTTCGCAGGAGGTTTTCAAAAGGAGACTGGAGAGCCATCTGTCTTGGATGGTTTAAATTCAACAAATCCTGCATCTTGGCAGAGGGTTAGACTAGATGACCCCCGCAGTCCCTTCTAGCCCTGTGGTTCTATGATTAAGTCAGTTATTCCTTTAGGGGATTAATATGCCAGTTTATTATTTTAAATAGTTGTCCAGACACTTCAGCTGAAACATACTGGATTAGATAAAACAATAAAACAAGTTTATTAACTACAAAGAGATCGATTTTAAGTGAATACAAGTAATGAGGCATAAAAGTCAGAAATTGTTCTAAGAAAATAAAGATAAAATGCTTACTAGTGCCTAATTTAACGAAAACTATATTAGATTCAAAGCAAAGTTTTCTCACCACATGTTTTCAAGCAGTCCTACTGACCAAACTCTTTAGGTGAAGGCCCATCCCCCAGAGATAAAGGGCTGCTTCCTTTGTCTCCTCAGGTGCAGTTAACATGATGTGCAGGGAGAGAAAGTGTGGTGCCTTGGGGTGTCTGCCACTTCTTTTTATAGTCCTGTCCCTGCTTTGAGAAGCATTTCCAGCTGGAAGCAAGGCAACAGGCAGTCTGCGTGGAAGGAAACTCCATGCTGTTTCTTTGCTAAGATGTAGATTTTTGTACCTGCCCCTTTCCTGCCAAAGAATGGCCACTGAGGCCAGGTCTATGCCACAGACCTATATCAGTATAACTATGTCGCTCAGTGCTGTGAAAAATCCACCCCCGAGCAATGTAGTTATACCAACCTCACCTCTCACGTAGACTGCACTGTGGGGGAAAGCCTCTCCCGTTGACATAGCTACTGCCTCTTGTGGAGGTGGATTAACTATGCTGACGCGAGAAGCTCTCCAGTCAGCGTAGTAACATTTTCACTAAAGTGGTGCTGCTGCGGCATTGTATGTGAAGACAAGCCCTTAGCAGGTAATGGTCCATCCGCCTTGTTTAAGCCTGCCTGAGGTGTCAGCTTGCCCTCGGTCTCTGAGGAACTGGTTTAGCCACTCCTCAGACTTATCTGGAAAACATATTTTTAGTCACTTTATGTTTATAACTTCACATATAATGCTGCTATGTGCATTTTGCCATGATATTATTGATCAGCAAATTATGAGTTTTTAAATGATACCTCACAAGGCATACTTTGTATAAATATTATTACAATAGGGTGTGTGAACACAGGGGTATATTCTGTCATACATATCAATTGCATTAACTTTGTACACCACCAAAAGAAATGCTGCAAACTTACTGGGAAATGGTCCTTAAGACTCATTTTACTGCACATCTCTATAAAATACTTTAAGTACTTCTCATCAAGGATCAGGTAAACAGAGACACGTCGTCTGCTTGAAGCTTCCATCAGGTCACAGAGTATCTCCATGTCTGTGAAGAGATCCATGACGACTGCTATCACCTAGCCAGAAAACAAACAAGAAGTCCCAACTGAAGGAGCATTCCTAGATGGACATGGTTGTGGCAGGCAGCTTCCCAGCCGAAAAGGGGAGGAAGCAACACCTCAGAGACCTGATCGCCATAAAGTGTAGGGACTCAGGGCTGATGTACACTGGAAAGTTATGTTGACCTAGCTACATCACTCATGTAATTAAGCCATGTAACTCCTAGTGTAGACAGTGCTAGGCTGACAGAAGAATTCTTCCATAGATCTAGCTATCACCTCTTGGAGAGGAGGATTTATTACAATGATGGAAGAACTCCTTCCATCGCTGTAGTAAGCATCTACGCAGCTGTGCCATGCTAATGTTTCTAGGATAGAGGTACCCTTGGAGCACTAAATAGTGGAGTGCCAGGGGACAGGTCCTAGCACCTCTCTCTATACACATGGAGGCAGGATGTTGAGGGCCTCATACAGGGCTGCAGGTTGTTGCCAAACCTTGACCGTCTTTCAATTCCTAATAAGGAACCTGGACTTGGTATCAGGGAGAGTGAGCAGCAGGGTGGCAGCATTACCATGCTCATCCCTACAGTATACTTAGGACCGCAGCATAGTTTGGCTAGAAAAACTGTGAGAAAATTCAGAGGGACCTAACCAAGGTAAGGGAATGGGTAGCATGGCAGATGACATATACAGTAATGACAATAGAAAGAACAATTTGAATTGCTCCTACATGTTGTAGGGTTCTAAATTAACTGTAACCCACCAGGGAAAAGACCTGGGCACCATTACATGAAGAGCTCAGCTCAACATGCCTTGGCAGCCAAAAAAGAAATAAAACATTAGGGTGCATAAGGAATTGGATAAAAATAATATGGGAAATATCATGCCATTCTATAAATGAATGGCACACCCATCCCTGTGTTAATATGTGCAGTTCTGGTCACCCCATCTCAGACACTATGTGAGCAAAGAATGAAGGCTTGGGAAAGAGAAAGAGATTGAAAAGACTGGGAATATTTAGATTGGGGGGGAGGGACAGCTCAGTGGTTTGAGCATTGGCCTGCTAAACCAAGGGTTGTGAGCTCAATCCTTGAGGGGACCATTTAGGGATCTGGGGCAAAAAATATATATATATAGGATGATTTAATTGGGGATGGGTCCTGCTTTGAGCAGGGGGTTGGACTAGATGACCTCCTGAGGTCCCTTCCAACCCTGATATTCAATGATTAGGAAGCAGACAAATAAGAGGGAATGTTAGAGATTTATAAAATAATGAACAACTTGGAGAAGGTGAATTGGGTACTGCTATTTACTCTGTCTTGTAACACAGAGAAAGGGGATACCCAATGAAATTGAAAAGCACAATATTTAAGACAGATAAAAGGAAATACTTTTTACACAATGCGCAACTAGCCTGTGAAACTCATTGCCATAAGATATAAGGACATAAGAATGGCCCTACTGGGTCAGACCAAAGGTCCATCTAGCCCAGTATCCTGTCTTCCAACAGTGGGCAGTGCCAGGTGCCCCAGAGGGAATGAACAGAACAGGTAATCATCAAGTGATCCATCCCCTGTCGCCCATTCCAAGCTTCTGGCAAACAGAGGCTAGCGACACCATTCCTGCCCATCCTGGCTAATAGCCATTGATGGACCTATCCTCCATGAATTTATCTAGTTCCTTTTTGAACCCTGTTATGGTCTTGGCCTTCACAACATCCTCTGGCAAGGAGTTCCACAGGTTGACTGTGTGTTTTGTGAAGAAATACTTCCTTTTATTTGTTTTAAACCTGCTGCCTATTAATTTCATTTGGTGACCCCCTAGTTCTTGTGTTATGAGGAGTAAACAACACTTCCTTATTTACTTTCTCTACACCAGTCATGATTTTATAGCCCTCAATCATATTTCCCCTTAGCCATCTCTTTTCCAAGCTGAAAAGTCCCAGTCTTATTAATCTCTCCTCATATGGAAGCCGTTCCATACCCCTAATAATGTTTGTTGCCCTTTTTTGAACTTTTTCCAATTCCAATATACCTTTTTTGAGATGGGGCGACCACATCTGCACACAGTATTCAAGATGTGGGCATACCATGGATTTATATAGAGGCAACATGATATTTTCTGTCAGCCTTCTTTCTAGGCAGTGTTCCCTCAGGGGTTGTCAACCTTAATACCAAGCTCGATCAAGGCATCCAGATCAACTGGTGGCTCTAGTCACGCCAGTTTATGTTTGATCTCATCTCTGAGGCTGAGCCGGAAGTGGTAGCTGTGCACAGCCGCATTCCATACATGTCAGCTATCAGACACCAGAACTCCAGGGCATAAGTAGCAATTGGCTGGTGTCCCTGCCACAGGGTTTGGAGTGTGGCCGCATGCCTATGGCTCAGGTCAGCAAAAATTACTGCTGGGGCTTGAACAAAGTCCTCAGATTGGTTCAGGAAAGGGCTAGATCTTTCCAGGAGTTGGGAGGCCCAAGCCAACACCTCTGCAGTCAGCAGGCTAGTGCTAAGTCCCACCCAAGTGTGGTCAGTGGAGAAGGTGGGGAGGGATGGCAGGTGCAGCAGGAATAGGAACCGGCACTGGTCCATAAAACTTGGAACTGGCTGAGGTCACCGCCAAACTTGTCTGTCAGGGGAATTTTAGGTTCCTGAGAGGGGAGTTACAGGCGATGCAACGTGCCTGCAGTGTAGCATTCTGCGCCTGCAAGGTGTCTACCTGCTGTAGTAGGTTTTGTATGGCACCCACTATCTCTGAGAGAGATGCTGGCCTTAGTGGGATCCATTCCAGTAACTGACCCATTCCTACTTCCCTTCTTTATCTCCTTTTTGGTTGGGCTGCTCAGTGTCACAGACTGGGACATGGGCCAGTCATGCCTAGTGGTTAGAGCCAGAGTCAAGCTACAGGAGTCAGAGCTGAGGGTGAGGGCCAGGGTCAGGAACCAGGAGTCAGAAACTGAGCAGGGGAGCAGAGCTGGAGTGGGCTGGAGCAAGACGAGAACAAAGCAGGCACAGGAACAATCACAGCTGTGGGTATAAGCATTGAGCAACCACTGGCCAAGTGCTACTGCGGGGCTTAATAGTAGTCCTGGAAATGCCTCTCAGCCAATCAGGTGATCTGGCTGATTAGGGGTTTCAGCCATGGTTAGCTAGATGATCCTAGGCCCAGGTATAGGCCCTCATTCTTGTGCCCTCCCTCCTGCCCACAGGATGGATAAGCCCTGGCCCAAGCCCCCGCTCCCGGGATGGACAAACCCTAACCCTGCACCCATGGATTGGACCCCATGGTCTTAGGCACTATGCACACACATGATACATAGACAGTTTCTACCCTAAAAGACTCAGAGTCTACGAATATGGCTGTAGAAAGCAGGAAGGAATCTGAACTGGGCTAGGTGAGGGGCACAGGTGGCTATACAGTTGGGCAGCATATGTAGCAGTCACAGCGCTCCAGCTGCCCAGACATTGCCAGGCTTGTAGCGTATGCAATAGTGATGACAGCAGCCAGGACTCAGAGTCCCTTACAGCTGTGCTCCATCCTGTGTGCCTGCATTCATCCCAGCTCTATCGAAATGGGGGGAGTTCTGTACATACCGTTTTTGCCCTGCTGATCAGGCACCGGAGTAAATCCTTGATGCTGTTGGCCTTGTTTCTCTGGAAATACACACTGGCTTGAGTTTGGCCATACTCTGTGGCAAGTGGTATCACTGGCCAGCCCAGCTCCAGCTCTGGAGGCTGCATGTCAGACAGGAGTGGGAAGTAGGTACCAGAGCTTAGTTCAGAGAGAAGGGAGGCCCTGTCCTCAGAGTCTCCCTCTTTGGGCTCGGTCTGATGCCCCTTCCTTGCATTAGGCTCCAGGATACTCTGGCTTCTATGCTGGCTCATGTAGTCCATGTCTAGGGGGGAGAGAAATGGCAGCTCCTGTTCCTCAACGATGGCTTGCAGATAACCAGGCTCCCCCTGCTCCAGAAAGGCATCCACAGCCAGCCTGGCTGTCTCACTGTGCTGCAGCACCAGGGGGATGGGCTTCCTCCACCACAGCTTCTTCAGCTCCTCCAACCGACTCCGCAGCGGTCCAGACACGCCAGGACTGTCCCCAGAGCCCCTCTGGAACCGGGACCCGGCCTGAACATGGTGGCTGAACATGAGGACAGCTGCTGATGCTAATCCTCCAGAGGTTCTGTCTGTTGTGTTCTTCGGCAGCTGGCTCTGCCCCTCTCTTCCAACACTTTGTCTCTCTCTAATTTTCCTCAGCTCTTTCACAATGGGTTTCCCTGGGGCTGTGGGACTTGAGAGATCAGTGCACTTAGTTACTTCCTCTCTAGGGTTGCCAACAGTTCCTTAGGAGAAGGGACGTCCCTTATTTCTTCATCTCTGCACACCAAGATTGGGAGTTGCTGAGTGCTGCAAAAAAGCAGCAAGAAATACCCCTGGCGAATGTAGGTGAGTCCTGCTTATTAATTATTAATAATAATATCGGGAGGGGCGGGAGGGGCACTAAGAGAACAGCCCCTTATTTTTGAAATACAGCATTGGCAACCCTACCTGAGTCTGCGTTGTCAGTTACTGCTGAACATCCCTCCACTCCGGGGGAAGAGGTAGTTTTCAGCAATCCTTGCTCTCAGTTTTGTTGGCTGCAGACAAGTTTTTGTGCCGTTGTGATTCTCAGTGTCTGGCTTGTCCCTTCCAGATGGATTCAAGAATTAATAGGCACTTCCTCCTTCCTGCCAGTAACCGATTGCCGATATACTTCCTCATGTACTGACACCAGGCAGGTTTCTGCTCTCACCTCCGTTTGTCTATCAGCCAGGGTGCAACCTGCCGGGTCAGGTCCTGTGCTCAGAGTGGAATGCACATGTTGAATCTTGTTCCAAACCAAACATGTTTCTCAGTGGTAATTATTAAAAAATGCAAATATCACAAGCAATTAACGATAGTCAGCCAGTCAGCAAACACAGAGGAGAAGGCCACTTGCTCATGATCACGTTGTCTGCCTGAAGCACCACAGTCTCAGAACAGCACATGCCTTTTATGCCATAAACCCTGCAGAAGCAATAATTCACAACAGACATGCGTTTTTTTGGTATCTCCCCAAATACACATCTTGGGGGCACAGAAGCCAAGATGTCTGAGAATGTCTGTTTCTCATGCAGTGCTAGACCAGCAACACTATGCACATTATGGGTATTTTCAGTGCTGTGTTGAGCCCAGTCTGCCTGTGGTATTAGGGAGCCTTTAATACAGGGGGGACACATCAGGAGTTGTCACTTTGTACTTTGCACCCCTTCCCTGGTACTGAATGGTATGTGTTACTGGTACATGCACTGCACAATGTTCAGGAAGAAAAACTCTGCACAGGGGAGGTGATTTTCAGCAAGTAGGTGCATGTTCGATTGCACAACTGCTTTGCGTGTGCGCTCCCAGAACTGAATGCAAACAGTGGAGATTTGCGCTGGGCATGGCTAGCGTGTAGCCAACTCCCCAATTTGCACATGCACATTGGGTCATCATCATCATCATAGCAGCTGGTAGCACAGACCGCATGTAACGTTTTTCATCCATAGATGTCAAAGTGCTTTCCAAGGGTGACAGCAGTATTATTATCCCATTTCCCAGAAAGGGAATCTGAGACCCAGGGAGGCAAAGGCCAACATTTCCAAACTCAAGGGCCATCATGGTCACTAGGGACTGACAGGATCAGCACTTCTGAGAATCAGGCCATGTCATTTTAGGCAAGTTTTAATACAAATACACTTTTAAGATGAGTCATGAGGCTGGATTGTACTCACTGACGGGCGGGAGGCGCACAGATTCTGAAGTGCTGAGTAATATGATTCTCCTCCCAGTCATTATCATAGCAAAGTACTTTACTTCCATTTGATTTGCTTTGGGGGTGGGGTGTGCATGGTTTCTGTTAATGAAGCTGTTGCATGGCCATTGCTCAGAAAGCTATGGCTTGATGCCAGCCATGTTCAGCCTGCATCTAGCCTTCCAGTGCAGGCTCAGATCATGGAAAAGGCTGTGGTGACACAAGTCTCCCAGTACTGTATCTGGCTCTCATGAGGTTCCCTCACCATGGGTGGCAACTCCTGCTGGCCGTTGCGGGGATTAGCTCTGCCAGCCAGTGCGCCCGTTCCCGGTGGTGACTCTCCCATCATCATCGCTGCCTTTGTGACTGGCTGGGAAGTTTAACTTCAGTGTTACCCACCAGCCTGGGAGTATCTGCTCTCCTTTTGGCAGCCTGCCCTGACCGTGGCATTTTCAGGGAGGGCTGCCCCAGGCACACCGGGTGATACCTACCTCCAACTATGGCCTACATAACACAGAAACATAGCCTAAACAGACACTTTGCAATGCCGCTCAAAGTCAGAGACTCTCTACACTGGTGGACACAACCCAACAATGTGTGTGTGGGGGGGAGTCCCTTTCACACAGACTCCACCTTCAATGATTCTTACAACTGATGCCTCGTTGATAGGCTGCGGAGCCCATGTACAGCACCACACAATTCAGAGCAGGTGGTCTCCCTCCAAGACACTGTTACACAGAAATCTCCTGGAACTGTGCGCGGTTCACGTGTGCTTGCTCTTCCAGCCCTTAATCAGGAACGAGACTATACGGGTAAGGATGGACAACATTGCCTGAATGTTTTATATAAACCGGCAGGGAGAGGCAAGGTCACACTCCCTATGCACCAAACCCACGAAACTATGGAACTGGTGTATCCAACACAATGTCAGCATATCAGCCTCGTATCTCCCAGGTTGTCAAAACATTACAACACGCTGAGCAGAGAATTTTCTCAGGATCACGAGTGGGAACTAAACAACATAGTCCTACAGAACATATTCAAACACTGGGGTCACCCATCCATTGACATCTTCACGACATCCCAGGATGGCAAATGCCGGCAATTCTGTTCGAGAGCAGGGCTGGGGCCCCAATCCCTGGGAGATGCCTTTCTTCTCAAATGGGATGCACTTCTGCTAAATGTGTTTCCTCTGATCCCCCTGTTATCGAGGTTTATACACAAAATATGAACCGACAAGGGCAAAGTCATCTTGGTAGCCCCCGCTTGGCCCAGACATACTTGGTACTTGTACCTGTTGCGGATGACGGTATGCACACTTCACACTCTTCTACTTCGGGCAACCCTTCTATCGCAGGATGCAGGGAAGAAAGGGGCAGTTGATAGTAATTAATATAAATGAGAAGTTAATAATTGTAGAAAATTGATAAGCGAATAAAAGGAACACAAGAAGAAATCTGCGGCCAGCAGAGTTAGGGACAGTAAGAAAGAATTTTTTTAATATATTAGGAACAAAAAAAATCCTGACAATGATATTGGTCCACTACTAGATGGAAATGGTATAATTATCAATAATAAAGCAGAAAAGGCAGAAGTGTTCAATAAATATTTCTGGACTGTATTTGAGGATGGCTGCCGAGGACACCTGCGCCCTAGTCGAGTGAGCCCTCACTATTGGCGGCGGGGGTACCTTTGTGAGCTCGTAGCAGTAGCGGATACAGGCTGTGATCCATGATGATATTCTTTGGGCAGAGACAGGGCTACCTTTCATCCTGTCTGCGATCGCAGCGAACAACTGTGTCAACTTACAGAATGGCTTTGTTCTATCTATGTAGAAGCCAGGGCCCGTCTGACGTCCAGGGCATGCAACCTGCATTCCTCATCCGTTGAGTGGGGCTCAGGACAAAGGACCAACAAGTATATGTCTTGACCAGTATGGAACTGGGGGTATGTCTACACTACGAAATTAGATCGAATTAATAGAAGCCGGTTTTTTAGAAATCGGTTGTATACAGCCGATTGTGTGTGTCCCCACATAAAATGCTCTAAGTGCTCTAGTCGGCGGACCACGTCCACAGTACCCAGGCTAGCATCGACTTCCGGAGCATTGCACTATGGGTAGCTATCCCACAGTTCCCGCAGTCTCCGCCGCCCATTGGAATTCTGGGTTGAGATTCCAATGCCCGAATGATGCAAAACAGTGTCGCGGGGGGTTCTGGGTACATGTCGTCAGGCCCCTCCCCCTCCGTCAGAGCAACGGCAGACAATAGATTCACGCCTTTTTACCTGGGTTACCTGTGCACACAACATACCACGGCAACCATGGAGCCCGCTCAGCTCAGCTCACCGTCACCATATGTCATCTGGGTGCCGGCAGACGTGGGACTGCATTGCCACACAGCAGCAGCAGCTAACTGCCTTTTGGCGGTAGACGGTGCAGCATGACTGGTAGCCTTCATTGGCGATCTGGGTGCCGGCAGCCGTGGGGCTGGCAACCGTGGGGTTGCATTGCACCAGCCCCCTTGCCTTTTGCCTTTTGGCAGTAGATGGTTTATTACGACTGGTAACCGTCCTCGTCGTACAGCAGTGGCTGTCAATCATGGGCACCTGGGCAGTCCTATGGAACTGTTTTGATGAAGATGGTTATCAGTCGTAGTATGCCATTTTCTGCCACGCGCCCTGTTGGCTCATCGCACGTTAGCTGAGTCTTCCCTGAGCAGCAGATCGTGCATTAGGCCTGAAGGCTAACTGCCAAGCGCCCAGTACTTGCTGCCAAGCACCCAGAAAATGCTGAGGGCTATCAGTCATGCTGCACCGTCGTCTTAAGATGTAAAAAATAGATTTGTTCTGTATTCATTTCCTTCCCCCCTCCCTCCGTCAAATCAACGGCCTGCTAAACCCAGGCTTTTGAGTTCAATCTCTGAGGGGAGGGCCATTCTGTGTGACAGTTGTTTGTGTTTCTCCCTGATGCAAAGCCACCTTTCTTGATTTTAATTCCCTGTACCTGTACGCCATGTCGTCACTCGCCCCTCCCTCCCTCCCTCCTTCCCCGGTCCGTCAGATACTAGTTTCGCGCCTTTTTTCAGACCAGACGCCATAGCTAGCACTGGGATCATGGAGCCCGCTCAGATCACCGCGGCAATTATGAGCACTATGAACACCACGCGCGTTGTCCTGGAGTATATGCAGAGCCAGGACATGCCAAAGCAAAACCAGGACCAGGCGAGGAGGAGGCGATTGCAGCGCGGCGACGAGAGTGATGAGGAAATGGACATGGACCTAGACCTCTCACAAGGCA